TTTGCATAGATCACAAACCCCATGTGCACAGCGATGGAGGAGGATCTGGAAAGATGGAAGACCTAGGGAGGGTGTGTGCGTGGAAGAAGGGGAGGGGGGGGGGGGGGCACGGAATTGTCACTTCGTTTCCTGCTTTGCAGCACGAGGGTTAACGCAATGCTTCAAGAGATGTCGGACGGCTGCACCCCTCGCTCGACTCTTTATCACCGACGACTTACACCCTTACAACACCTTACACCGACGGCTTACACCCCTTACAACCCTTGACCGACGACTTACACCCCTTACAACACCTTACACCGACGACTTACACCCCTTACAACACCTTACAGCGACGCCTTGCACCCCTTACAACACCTTACACCGATGACTTACATCCCTTACAACACCTTACACCGACGACTTACATCCCTTACAACACCTTACACCGACGACTTACACCCTTAAACACCTTACACCGACGACTTACACCCCTTACAACACCTTACAAACGATGACTTACACACCCCTTACAACACCTTACACGACGACTTACAACCCCTTACAACACCTTACACCGACGACTTACATCCCTTAAACACTTTACAGCGATGACTTACATCCTACAACACCTTACAGCGACGACTTACACCCCTACAACACCTTACACCGATGACTTACACCCCTTACAACACCTTACACCGACGACTTACACCCCTTACAACACCTTGCGGCGACGACTTACACCCCCTACAACACCTTAGACCGATGACTTACACCGATTACAACACCTTACACCGTGAGCATGACGCCGGCGCGCCCTCAAACATCAAACCACCACGGTGGTCCATACAAAAAAAAACCGAAGCCTCCAAGAAGTGCGCCTCTTCACTTCTGCTTCTCTACTTGAATGAATCCATGCGCAATTGAGCAGACATACGAACAATGGTGAATACGTACACAAAGCTATACACAGGTACTGTACAGCCTTTTTGGAAACGTTCCGAAATTCCTAACCCCACATGAGCAGGACGAATAATCCTACAGGCCTGCAGGCATTGCGTCGAGCGAATATCTTGCACTGCGCCGATCGTTGCTCTGAAGACAACTCGTTTTATTATTCTGGACTTAGGATTGCATTTGCCAGGGAGGAAATTGCAAAATTAGTGAGGCGGAAGGCCGAGCGCGACGTGGGCAGATAATTCCCTTTACGGCTGAACGTCAAATACCTCGGCCAGAAATGGCACAGCAGATTTGGGCTAAGCCATCCAGAGCGATGTACGAACCATTTCAACAGCAATCCATATCACTGGCATAATCTTGATCGCTGTAAACTACAGCACATAATCTATGCGCAGGGATGTGTGAACGTCCATGAAACTAGAAATTAACTAAGTTACTTTTAAGGGCAATTTACACCGTGCACTGTTGGCGTAGGCGTGCAACGCGCTTCTGCCCAAAAGTGAACACCGCCTGCCCCCGCCCCCTCGCCGCTGCCCCCGATCTCCACCTCCCCGTATGCCGCGATACCCTCGGGTGGAAGTCCCCTGTCCTTCCTGACAAGTTACGAGCGGTATATGATCTCTAAGAATTTCTCAATATTTGTTGAATGGCAACAAAGCGAAATAAATAATTTAGAGAGGTATTCGAGCTGAAGCAAGAGGATCTCAGCCTGCAGGACAAGATCCACTTTTTCATAGGAAGCCCTTTACGTCTAAGGCAGATCTCGCAAAAATGTCAAGGGCTTTCGAAGGCGTTGGTGGGATCATATTGTTACGAAGCGACTGAACCCGTACGGGTTCAATACAAAAAGGCGCGCCCAACGCTCACGCAAATTTTGACTCCCAGTGAGCGCGTAAAGTAGCGGTAAAGTTCGACAGTTTTTTGACGGCACATAGACACCCCAGAGCGGAATTAGTCCATCTGGATGCAATGGTGTCTGTGCCGCGTAGCCTGACGTCTAAATAACGCAAGGGAGTCAGTCTCCTTGGAAAGGTTTTCGACTCCGCAATACAGGATTGTGGGATTAAGGATCACCACCATCAAGTTGTGGGACCAGGGATCATCACGCCATCGAAATAGCTCTTGTCATCTGATTCCCTTATAAAACGATCAGTCACGTGATATCCCGGACCTTGCCCCCCTATTTTGGCGAGATCGGTCTTCCAAAGTGTGCGAGAAGAAACACCCCAACCACGGCGAGGAAAAACTCCGTGCTCACTAACCTCGCAAACCTTTTTATTTTCAAGAGACATCTCAAACCTACTTTCATTACTGAGAACGGCTCCGGTATAGCACGGGGTGCGGGGGCTAACACAATACTCCAGATATAAATGTCCTCTGTTATCATTATGAATGGAGCTAATTTAGGCCACACGAGTGTACAGAGGCCCTTAGTAAAGGACGGATAATACCTTTTCCGAGACCATATCATCCACTGAGCGCGAGTCCTACGAATACGCGAAATCGATACGACTGAGAGAGGGCATGACCTTGTGAAGAGACCGGAGGGCTGCAGGCTGCTGGCCTCATGACCTCTGCTAGCCTCGTGAGTCATAACACAGACACATGACAAACTCCTGCAAGTGCTCATTTTTCCGCAGCATTCACCATGATAATTGTCGCTAAGAACGTGAAACCTCGTGAGCACCCCGACTCAGCCTGACAGCTGGCACGGTTATGAACCCGTCGCCCGGCCGGCTGCCAAGAACAAGAGCCCCCTCTAAATCAAACGCTCATTAAAATATTGAAGGCGCGGTGCTTAAAACCGGCTGTCTGAAATATTTTTCTATGGGCTGCACACGTGTAAATGTGTGGCGTCTCTTCCTGATTCTTAACACAATTTGTCTGCCGCAAGTCTAGGCTCTTCCCATTGCAATTCCCAAGCAACGTTTTAGCTCCAACACTGGCGAAAAGGCGGCTGGCATCATAAGACGTGGTGTCGGACAGACCCCATTCGCCCCACGGTTATGTTGCGACGTACGCACTTACACCGTACTCGTCACATGGCGAAGCCACTGCGAGATGTCCTGAGCCCTATTCGCAACATTAAGCTCACAAATGCTCACGCTAAGCAGCGCTTGCTGTGTGAGCCCTCGCCCCATCACATGATGGCCCGATAAATTTAACGGCCCGCAACACCACGGTCCGACCCGCCCTTTGACCTCATCCGACCCTGAACGGCCTTTGAGGGCCTTCTTTGAGTGACCGCTGGGCTGCCTACGGTGGGAACATCATTCTTATCGTTGGTGGTTGGCGGAAAACGAGATAAGTCTGCTCAGTGGTCTGTTCGGCGATGTCGGCTCTCGAAGCTCTCGTCCCGTTTCGTCCTCTGGGACCACACCTTCCGTAAAGTGGAGTCTCAGGGTGTGGGTCACATAAGCTATAGCCGTCCGTGCGTCAGGCTGTGGACCAGCCGCCTGACGTCCAGCACGGCACATCCCGAGGCGTGTACAGACTGGTCTGAAGGAATTAGACCGAAGACTACAGTCAGACGCCAGACTGCCTACGCGGAGCTGAAGTTTTCCCAGATTCAGTGAGTCGCTGTCAGGCCATCGTAGGTTGTCAGATGCAGGGGTCAAACGTAGGAGGGTGCACACTTTGTACAAGTCGTTCAGGATTGAACTAAGAAGGAATCTCTTCACCAAGGAACGCGAGATAGTGGCCTGCTGACAAGAAGGTCGTTATGTGGTTCTGGCGTTCATCTTCTCTACCCTTTCACTTTTCCGCCATTTGCCAGAGTGGTTCGACCCATATTGACTTCGCAGGGGTACACATGTTGACCATCCTATATTGATCATCCAGCTCTGCAGACCAGTCAGCAGCAGACCAGCCCGAGCTCCGCGGGAGGGATGTCATCGACCAAAGCTCTACTGCATAACACAGTAGGGCGAGCGAGCACCCAGGTCCGCGATGGGGTGGTAGTGAACGGATGACTGCAAATCCGCCCCAAATCGCACCGCGCCAGTGCAAACTCGACCGCCCCACTCCCCCAGAGATCTCTCCACATCCATCGTCCGTAACCAGCCTCGAGCGTATTTACAGGCGATCCACGCAGGGGGGGGGGCGGGGGACGGGCGCCCCGCCGTCTGGAGAGGGGGGGCATTAAGGGCGAGGAGGGCGTGGAGGGCGTGGCAGGTCCGGTCAGCACGCGGCAGAAGGCGTATACGTGGCGAGGTCGCGCCGGGCCGCAGCGCGGCAGTACGGGGCCGGCCCGTTAGGCGAGCTTCAGTCATAGGTGGAATGAACGCAGTGAATCACCCGGCGACCTTGAAAAATGTTTCGCACGCGACGTTGGCCGCTTTGCAATTACCACTCCTAATTAACAAGGAGCAGCCCACGGTGATGTCAGGACTACAATTTTCCCCGACGTCACGCGTCAACGCCCTCCTCTCCAGGATGAAAAACAGCGCACAGCTAGCTCATCGCAACGATACAGCGGGCTTTTCCACAATCGTCACGCCCTTAGTGTGGGGATCCACATAATAGGCCTTCGAGACATACTGCCTCGGTGGCAGCAAGCCGCGTTCGTCAACGCGGCAGACATCTGGATCGAACTCGTGCCTTGACCGCCATCCCTGCAATGTTTGTTAACTTGCTTAACGCGAGGCGACTAGGTTGCCCTCCGCATCCCGACCTCCTACAATCAGGCTGAGATAGCTCCTCGAGAGCGACCCCCTAGCCCGTGGCAGCCTGTCGTGATAGTGTGGGCAGGGGCGTATGCAGGGGTTTGCAATAAGGGAGGGGCAACCAAAAACTTTTCAATGAAACATGGTGAGTCATGGCTGCGCGAAATTGCTTGCATGACGTAACAGAACCGTATCTTTTCAGACTACTAAATTTCTACTTGTGTCTTGACTTGGTGGCTGTCTCTGTAGCCATACGTTTAAATCCATGCGGCACCCTGACGGACAGGCACATACCCGGGCGCGACCCTCCCCCCCCCCCCCGCTGAGTACGCCGCTGGGTGCGGGCGACAGTTCACGCTCCCTGACCCCGTCGCCGTCACCCGACCTACCCACCTGAATGAACTGTATGGTGATCGCCGACTTGCCGACGCCGCCACCACCCACGATGACGATCTTGTAAGTCTGGCCCGAGCTGCTGCGATCATTGTTGTACTTGGACATGGCTGCAGCAGCTGTTCAACGGACGCACATTCGCGCGGCATGCAGCAGCGTAGTCCGCGCGCCGGACTCCGCACGTGCTGCGCAGCCCACCACTCACGCACACACACACGCACACGCACGCGCCTCCGCAGCCCTATCGCCAGCGCCCGTCCACGCGCTCGCCCCACCCGCCAACGACCGCAGCCCACTGGAGGCGGGAGGCGGTGGCCAATTCGAGACGCGGCTGCGAGACTGTACACAGCAAGCGGCATCGGGGCCGGTCGTACGGCCTCGAAACTTGGCACGGTGAGTCGGAGTCTGCGGCATCCTGGCTCGGCGGGTCCCTTTTGTAGTTTGTGCTGCCACCTAGGGACCAAATTCTACACTTAAAGTAACCCAATCTTCACGTGACTGCAAATAACCTCGCAGGACACCTCGGTACACGCAAAACGTCGCATGCAAGCCTGCGCATTGCCATGTTTTGTTTCACGAGATCAAGCATGCTAATCTGTGTACGCAAATCATGGTATAAAAGGTCCTAACATGGATATATTCATGGGCGTAGCAAATATTTCACCCACGATGAGCCAAACCGGGGCACTAGGGCAAAGCGAGGCGCTTTCTGCCAAAGGGGCCACACTTCATCGCTATAGGGCACCTAGCACACACCTAGGCACTTAGCCAACAATTTGACCGGGAGAGGGGAAATTTCAAGTTAAGGTAAGCGTCCGATTTTCTCCGAATTCCTTCCTCAGGAAGGGGCGATGCATCACAACGGGCCGAAGGAGTAGGCCGTGGGTCTCACTACCGGTGCAGAGGCCCGACACCGAACCACCCGTCAAGGCACTCCAAGTGCGCGGAAAATATGTCAGAGTAGAGGGCGAGCTCCAAAATTCCAAAATGTCCCCCCTAGGATGGAATAGTGGGCCCACACAAGCCCGAATGCGCCCTCTACGGTCAGAATGCGCCCTCTACAGACCAGAGTGAGCCATCTGCAGGCCAGAATAGAAACACTGCAGTCAGTGACGGGCCGTGGTGGATCCCGGGTTTCATCAGCGGGGCTACGCAAAATTGTGCCCCTCCCCCCTAGAGTTTGTGGCCCTCCAAAAATCCTTGCATTTCCCGCGTCAAATTTCAAGATTCTTATGTATGCTATTTGGTATACTGAAACCCGTCTTCCTGTGCGTAGCCTTAGAAAACTAGGCGTGCTACCTATGGACACACGTAGAGCATACTCATTTTATCCAACGGTCATGGTGAACTTCGTCAAGTTGAGGCTAACTATTTCGGAGAATATATGGCAAAATGCATTTAAGTTGGCGACTACTTATGATTAAAATCAGGCGCAACAACTCGGTATCGTGGTTATTTACAGCTAGCTGACTTCCCTGGTTCCTCTGTAAGGACCTCATATTGTCAATGATGGCGCGAGAACATGAAAATGATGCTCGTTTTGCAATATCATGTGCTCTTTTAAGGTCAGGAGCAAGGTGAAAGGACGGGGAACTTCATATCACCAAAAAGCTACCGCTCGCACGCAAATTTTCAAGCATCATAATATTCGCCACAGAGGGAATTAGCGTCCATAAAAGATACTAACCGCTCAAGGTTACATTTCAAGGGAAAATTTAGGCTAAAAAGGCGGAGAACTCAAGATCACCAAAATATAACCGGCTGATTTTAAATTTGAAAGCACCAGAATATTCGCCAGATAATATGCTGCTTCAATGGTTATCGGTTATCGGTGATCCTACTCAGCATACCATGACATGCAGGGCGGATCCAGGATTTCGGCAGGGGGGATGGGCACGCAACAAGGTGAGACCCCCTCCAAAAGTAAATCCCCGCATCCCGGATATTAAATTTTAACGTAAACACACACACACACACACACACACACACACACACACACACACACACACACACACACACACACACACACACACACGCGCGCGCGCGCGCGCGCGCGCGCGCACACACACACACCTATTCACGTTATTTTGTTCTGCACGGGCATGTGTGTTCGACCTTGTTTGTGGACACACGATCAAAACAGGCCTATAATTAGTATATTTTTGTTAATATAGATATGCTACATTTTAAATATATAAACATAACATATTATATATAATTAGAGTTGAGCCTTGAAACTCCATATTACAACTGATTAAGGCTTAATTCGGGCTTAGCACCGGAAATACCTCGGAATCTTGACAGCATGTACCAACATAGCAAATATTTCGAGATGGTCCAAAGCTTTGGTTTATGGGTACATTACCCATGCCCATAATTGGCAGGTGCCCACATATCATGACATTTACATTGCGTACATCGCGTACATCAGTGATTGTGCTGGGTTTTTGTGACGCAAAGGCATTTGGTATGGAATATGTGGATTGTTTGATAGTCGGTATGTGAATTTCTTGATTTGCAGATTTCACGTTTATTTCCAACGTCCGCTAATTTCACTTAAGGCTTTTTAAGATAAGGCCGCCGACATTAATGACCAAATGGGGTGCTGCGGCGGTTTCTTTCACTAAATGAAGTAGGCTGTCCATTTTACGCAATGTGACACTTTTCATGAGCTTCGAGCGTATCCTAGTCCATCACATCTATCCTGCATGTTTCCGTTCTCTGCATTTTTATGACAATGGAGCATAACAGCCATGCATGTTGTGGATTGTCTGCGATTAAGCACTACCAGCTACTACCAATGCTGATGAGGGACGTGGGCCACGTATTTTTTAAAACGCGTAAGGTCGTAAACGCCCTGAAAGTGTATTTCAAGAAAGAGGAGCTGTTTTCGGAGACAAAATGCATCCTTGGACATTGTAAGTGTACGTGAGCATCGAGTGCATGACGATTTGCTTTCTAAAACCAATTTTGTATGCAGTGCTATGAAGCAGTATGTTCCGCATCCCGGCTCAAAAGAAATGTCACGCGGGGAGCAACCGCTTATTTAATACCCATGCAAGATGCTTTCAAGCGTTGATTACACAACTTCATAAGCACCGCTTGTTTCACGGGCAGGTGGCACATACACGTTTTCATGGGGTTAGGAACGGCTATGGGCTCCGTGGGTACAATGCCACCTCAACTGCCTCAGAGTGCTCAGCATTAGTGTAATGGGAGCGCATAAAAATAATCGACCCCAAAATTGGTTTGGCCTCCCTCCCATCGGCACACATGCAAACCTTTGAGTCGCTGCAAAACCTATGAGCATTTTGAAGAAAAAGCGGCGGCTGATGTATCAAGCAAAGATGAAACAACCGAGGCATGGTAATGATCACCAGCCCTATAATTGGGTGGCGTAGCCTACCATTTGACCATCATTTGGGTCGCGCTTTGCGTAACAGGAACAAATCGTTCGGTTGTAAATTTGCGGATATTTGCGCATTATGAATGTCAATAACGCAACAAGGGGAAAAACAGATTTGCATTTTGCAGCTTAGCATGTGGTGCACGAACAGAATCGTTAAACACATAATCATGCATGTCTTGGTTGACTGAGGGCTAATTTATCATGGTTACAGTTTCCGGGGAATGCCATGGTTTCTGTATTAATTTTCACCTTTTCGTCAATCCACAGACGAATCGCTGCGAGAACATCCTAAGCCCCATGGGGTATTGCCAATGGTATAGTCAAAAATAGCATGGTCAACTGTGATCGTAGTTACTGACACATGATCCACTCCAAGCTGACAGCACATCTGACAATTAGTGCAGGCTGCATTAGCGCCAGCATTTTTTGTTTCAGCAGATGATCCACTTAAGCATTTTCAACACTGCAGGGCCAGTCTCCTTTCAAAAGGCGGGCAACACGCTTAAGAGCATCCCTGCAAACAAGGACATATTGTATTTAGATTCATGCGCACAGCGGAGGCTAAAAATTAGTGAACGAATGCGTGACTTGGAAAGCGGTCAACTTGGGACGGAATTCACGCCGCCGGTTGTGGTTTGCAGAAATAACATTTTTGCAAACGTTGATTGGACGAGGATTTTTATGCGTAAAGTTGTCTCATACTGAGAAAATGTGAGCACTGGGAAAACAACTGACGAAAGAACTTGTTGGGAAATAAATGAAGGCATGTGGTCAACAATGTTATTGTGAAAGTTAGCAACATGCTCTTGGTCTTACGTACAAAGAATAATATGCTGACTATATGCTGACCCCAGCGGTGCACCACCATGCATAACACCCCTAGCGCCCTAAGTTGGTTGTCATGGCTGAAGCTGACGCTGAATGCACCGGGACCCGCTGCAATGCCTGGCCAGGGAGCGACGCTTAAGGGAAAAATGAAAAAAACAGATTATTAGGTTCACGAGAAACAAAGCTTGTGCATCCTGTTTACCATGGCATGGGCTTCGTTGCTTTTGCCGGCTCTCAAAATAGGAGAGGTGAAAGAACAACATGTCAAACGGACACCAAAATTGAAGTCAAGTGTATAAAGGTACAGTGGCCCAGGCAGAGCACAATGGGCACAACCCCCCCCCCCCCCCCTATGTTTCCTTGGGAACGACGATTGAGGGCCGTTTTGAGTACCTGAAAGGCCGGCCGGAGAAAGTACGTAAGTGCCATTCCCACCTCCTGAGTCAATAAGGGGTATATAGAGCCTGAGGGCCCATTTTCCACCCTGCGGCAAAGCCGAGACCCAACGATTTACACTGGTCGGGGCCCCTGCATCCTTCAGGGGCTATAGTTCCTATCATGCAGTCCTATGTTGGCAAGGGGCCCAAATCGGCGGTGGACGGTGTTCGATGACGCCCGAAAAGGGTCCCGGGGGCCACTGAAACCGACGATCAAGAACCCAATTAGGGGCGGGGGGGGGATGATGGACCGAAGGGCCGGAAAAAGACCTCACAAAGGATCTAAGCCCGTAGGGCCGCCACATGGACTATCAATCAAAGGGCACCGATTGAGGACCCTCTGGGACAATGCGGGCCCCTATTTCGGCCAGAGACCACCAACACCGAATAGCTTGCTCCGTGTCAATCTGAGCTCTGAGGACCATTTCTCAGGCAAGTAAAAAACCGAACTCATGATTTGCATTGGTCGGGGCCCTTGCACCAATGCGGGGCTCCTGTGACGGTCAGTAGAATAGATTTTTATATAGATAGATAGATATATAGATAGATATATAGGTAGGCCGAATAGAGTGTCCTTTGTCGCCAACAACGGGCCTCGAGTCG